TCTTTTCTCTTGACCACATGAGTGCCGGTAAATATATACTTCTGTTATCAAAGAACATATTAAATTATTTTTAAATTTCAAGATTGTACATAGTAGGAAACCAGAATTAGAAAGAAACTAAGTCAGAAAATCAATAACTGTGGATGAGTTCGAGAATCTTCAGCAAATACACTTAGTACGCACTGATTTGTGGACTCCGAGAGGAGACAACACTGTTTGCCAGCATAATTTCGTTTTATTAGAAAAATATACTGAATAACAGTTCTATTACGCAATTTAGAAAATTTTGATTTCAGTTTAACACAACCGGTAAAATTATTGGTAGTATATTTCACTTTCTACTGCCGGATGAGAGAAGGCTTCGAATAAAATGAGAGTTTGTCATTGTGTCATAAATGTAAAAGTTAGAGTCGGACTGTGGAGAATCTTATATTGGAAGACCAAATTCGGTTTTGTGAAAGCAGGATCATATAGAAGAAAAAACAGTAATTTGAAACAGCTGATCGGCAGTTTAGTGAAAGATTCATGATCCGTTGTCCTGCCGCTTGATGTTCTGTTTTCTCTTATCTCCCCCTTAGTTAAAAATAATAATAAATCCTTTAATCCATTACCAGATGACATAACAATCCACCAATCGCGTCTTTCTGTGTGCACCAAATCTGAGTAGTATCTCACAACAATAGGACGAATTGCTGCGTTCAGGCGAAATAAGATGGGCCAGCGTGTACATCCGGACAACCAATGATAAATAATGATGACTCAGCCTGTTGCTGTTGATCACTATCAAACCAGCTCGAAAGTTAGTGGTTAATCATTGAGCAAACTAAAAACCGAAACAAGTTGTTTATTGAACTAGCGACCATTAACTGGCCTTCTGATAGAAAGAAAGTGTTCAGCGCTGACACGTCGCATTTCCACAATACCACAATTATTGTACACCACATCGCACTATAAACGAAGAGTGAGGCAAGAGGTTGAGTTGCGTGCGGTGCCATTGGATCGGGGTATAGCTCTTGTTGAAGTTACTAATCTTAGATCCATTTTAATTGCACCATCACTGACTATTATATTGGATGTGGTTTGGTTAATTCGACGTTTTCCTTTTTCGGTCAAAACAATCTGTCGTGCACGTCTTTAACAAACTTGTTAGAACTGCCGTTCACTAAGTAACACTGGACTTCCGACTTTTACCTTCATGTTAGTCAAACGATGAGTAACTTTCTGAATCTCAACAGCTTTTCTATCTCTACAGGTGACTAGTCACTGTCTCTTGATACTGTGGAAACAGCTCAAACTACCAGAAGATTCCATTTTTCCAAGTGGTTCTGGGCACAAAGGCATCCAGCATCTAAAGTCTCAGAAAAAAACAAACGATTTCATATACCTACCTAACTAAACTTGATGAATCACCATAAAGTGCCCGTATGCAGCATGCGGACTATAGCACGATCATATTTCAGTCATGATCGGGTCCTTCTTATGAATTTCTAGCACTATATCTTGACATAACAGTTAATTAACCGGTCGAGGCCAAAGATATTCTGAACTTTCTAGATTTCCAAATGAACCGTACTTTTGGGTTGTGTAGTATTAAAAACAAACTTTAAAATTATCTGTTAACGAAATCAAATGGGAAAGATGAAATGTCTCTTGAGTTTTATCCCGCACTGTGTTTGCTTGTGCACATGCATTTGCATATAATCTTCGCTATGCAACGACCTATCAAAACATGAGATACTGTGAGGCTGGCCATTCTCGAATACTAGTATTCAAAATCCGATTCAGGTTAGTTGTGTGATGCAGTTTTCAAAAGACTTCGAAAAAAGGGAAATCACATTGGTTGATTGAGCCGTAAAGTAGGCCTTCGATGAATAGCAATGAGGGTTGATTTACTCAAAACACGACATAGTACTGAGTCGGTAAGCAAACAGCGAACCAGTCTATACAATCACGGTGTCTCTTTGGTACGTATCGCAAAAGCGAGAACCTGCTGTGCGAAGGAAACCTAGATGCACATAGACAGTTTGATAGTGCGTGCCTATGTGTACTGTGCACCCAATCCGATTTGAAATGAACCCAAAGACATCTTGAGGTGAGCATGAAAAGTATTTAAACTCAAAAATGAACGGTTTCGCCTAATATACTTATGGGTTTCAGTTAGCACTGGCAACCAAACAAAGTGATCATTCTTGCCAATCGTTCAAATAAACAAAGTGAGCGTACAGGGGGTTGACGATTGAGTATAGACTCCTGTTTAATCGAAACAAATCCAGACATGACGGAATACGAAAACTGATCGTGAAGAATGTTAAAAAAAAGCTCATTTGAGAAACCTTCAAACAGTTTAAAAGAACTACAGACTTAAACCCAATGTGTTAGCTGTTCTGGTGCAACTTCACTTTCAGTAGTTGAGTGTCCCTGGTTATCTTGTGCAATAGAAAAGCCAGAATATTCTCTAATGTACATAAGTACTCAACTTCTGGAACGGTCAAAAGGTAAATCTGATCACTCTCAGGATTATCCGATCACTGCTACATGTAGTGGCATTTTGTGCAGTTAGGTGTTTCACATCAATAACCGCAATTGTGATGTTCTGAACGAAACAACTACGCATATTGCCTCTTTCGGTCCCACCATGCTTATACAATAACAAAGAAAATGAAAAGAGAAACAAGATACGAATTGAGGGTATCACAAGGGATGGTTTACAAGCAACTTCTGTGTTTCACCAAGGAGAAATTGGGTTTTGAAATAACTCCACAATAATGTTTGAATTGTTACAACTGGAGTTTCTTATAATCGTAAATAGAAAACAAAACGCTCAACCGACTAACTACTACATGCTCTGATTTGAATACCAACTGCAAACTTTTCTGCATTTCACTGAGCGTACACATGTTTGGAGAAAACTAATTTGCAATGAAGTGAAATTGTTTACAATTTCAATTTTCCAGAAGCTCAACCGGGTCCATCTCTGTCACCAAACCCTGAGGAACCTAAAGAAACCGATGATTCAAGTAAGTATCCTTCCGAATCTTTGAACAAATAAGAAAATGATTGTAAATATCGAGTGCATGTTAACCAAGTGTGCTGTCTTTACCAGATTAGTAACCGTCCAGCTAGGCACAGCTCCATTACCATCATGTATGAACCAGTGTGGACTGTGTTCTTTGATACGTAGAGTTCATTGCCTTGTGGTGCGACCTGCATAAATTGCATCATAGATGCATCTAATTGATAGACAATCATGGAAAAGGTCAATATAGGTAGCTTATCTTTGGTGACTCAGAGAACGCACATCCGAACTGATAGGCATTATTGATGAATTTCCTAGTAGTGGATAAAACTCTGCCGATCCTGATCAATATCGTCGATATGTATACGATATGTAGAACAGTAATCCTGACCATATCTATTCAGAATTTAACGCAAGTCATTTGTCAATTAAATTCACAATTGAACCAGAGGAAAATGATTGCCAAAATAGAAATTGATATTCTAATAAAAACTCAGTCTCGCAGGTTGTCTTTCACAGAGAATACGGCGAATCTGTTTTGATGGCACTTTAGGGGACAAAATTAATTGAGTCGAAAGTGATTATCCTGACAAGTTTATGGACCGTAATTTGACTGAACAGAATAACCCAACCAAAATACCAAAAGTGAAAAATAAATAGGTTTTTGTATTCGTATAGACTTTTACTTGAATAGACGACCGCATTTCAGTCAAAAAGTGCCTTTTGTAAAAGTTACATGTAAATGTAATGTCGCCGGTGTCAGGGTCAGCAGAATTTTATACGCCCCAGTGAAATCTACTTTCAATGCCCCTCAGCTAAGATCTGTGTTCTATGAGTCGCCAAACTTCCGATGGTACAACAAATATAAGCTGCCTATGTTGACCTAATCCATGGTAGTCTTTCGATTCAAGTGCACCTGTGATGCGACTTATATACGTCAAACGACAAGGCAATGGAATCAACGTATCACGGGTCGCGAACCACGATCTCAACTGAAGCACAGACTCGCTCTTGCAATCGTATGTTGGAACCTTCCGTCGCCTAGAGGCAAGAAAAAGTCCTCAGAGGTACCGGTTAGGTTATTGAGGGAAATCAGCGGGATTGAATATTTTGTACACAAAAACGTCATTGGTTGAACAGGTTTTCGCCAATGGCTTGCTTGCATTCTTGACATCACACAGCTTCCGTTTTGGCTGCACGGCTCCTGGCTGGTTGGTACTGTTGAAATGAGGTCCTTCGCCCAGAAACTGTAACAGGCGGCATCATGGTTGGTGTCATGTCTAAGGCTCACCATACCCAAATAAAGCTGTCAGGTATGTCAAAGTTTTATTACCTCTAGGCATCTATTATAACAAACCGCATCAAAATGAACGCTTTCCAAGAGGCCAGCCGTAATGAACTAAGAGTATTTTAAACCAAGGTTTTTTCGAAACGAACTCAAACAGTCAATTTGCCACGAGTAAGGTGTTTCGAGTGAAATAAATCAATTTGCTCACTTTTTCTTTCTATTGTTCACACCAAATTTAAGCGGTTAATTATTTTCACGAGGATGGACGTACATTTTTGACTGTTTCATGCAGAATTCCACCACAGTCGTTTCGCAGGACTTTGATTAACCCATTATCGTTTGAAATGGTATATGTATTTGTGTGTGTGGACTCAACACAAATATTTTTGCGGAAAACTAGAAATCTTGCAACAAATGATCATTAGTGACAAACTTGGAGCTTGAAACAAATGAAACTTGAGTCCTAGAGACCCGCATATTGCGTTCAACTGGAGGAAGATCAATTTTCCAGGGTGGGCATTATACGAACGTTGTTTCCCTGTATTTTCGAAACCAAACCCCCGTCTACAAGGCATCCAGGCATTTTTCGAAACAACACTGTTAAGTAGTATGTTGGGTCGAATTATCAAATGATGGCTCGAACCAGTGACAAATTTAGAGAATGATTTTACAAATAACCCTTTTTTCACTTTTCAGTACTTGTCACTCAAAGTGAAGCTGGTCCACCGGCTGCATCCTACGCACGTCGTGGAGGTGTCGCTGCTGAAAGTTGGGATCCCGAGAATGAAGCAACACATGAAAAGGTGGTATATCCTAAATCGGAAGAACAAAAGGCTGCTTTGATAGAATCAGTGAAGAAAATTTTACTGTTTCGGTGCCTAGATGAAGATGATCGAATGGAGGTAGTCGACGCAATGTTCGAGAGGAAAGTATCACCAGGTGAGGATGTCATCACGTACGGAGAACCGGGAGATAATTTCTACATTATTGAATCCGGAACATATGATATCTACATATCTGCCGATGGTGAAATGAAAAAAGTATCGCAGTATGTCGACAAAGGATCATTTGGGGAGTTGGCTTTGATGTACAATACACCCAGAGCAGCAACCATCCGAGCGGTGACTGATGGAACCCTTTGGGCTATGTCCAGAGACACCTTCAGATCAATTGTTCTCACGAAGGCGTTTAAAAAGCGAAAACTGTATGAGTCCCTCCTTGAGAGCGTCGATTTACTGAAAGATCTAAGTCCGTATGACCGTATGAGTCTCGCGGATGCTCTGCATACACGAATAGTTGAGGCCGGTGAACCTGTCTTTTTACAAGGCGAAGTCGGACAAGAAATGTATTTTATCGAATCTGGTGCTGTGAGCGTCAAAATGAAACCATCAAAAGAAGGTGCGGAAGAAGTAGAATTGTGTCAATTAGGACAAAACGACTATTTTGGAGAGTTGGCATTGATAACGAAAAACCCTCGAGCAGCTTCTGTGATAGCCACAGAACGCACTCGTCTGGCTGTACTCGAAGTAGACAGCTTTGAAAGGATCCTTGGACCGTGCAAAGCCACACTTGAACAAAAACAAGAGGAATATGCAGAAAGACGCCAACAGATCTCAACAGATGCGCCGGCTATATAAAAACATTTATTTTGAGTAATGTAGCAAACATTGTTTTCAAAACATGTACTTTTTCAAAGCAGTGTGTTTCACTGGACCCTGGAAAGAATTGTGACAACTGCAAATTCACGACGCAAGTAATTAGACGATTACGTCATTTCAGTGTTAGCTAACGGGATGAAGCATATTGAGTTAATAGATCATATAATTTGATATCCAAGAAAAGAAACGAAAACACTGTGAAGAAATCAACTTCACCCTCAATCTTCAATACCAAACCAATAAAAGTGCATCAATATTTTCCGTCAGAATAGTTAATCTAGGCATCATATAACCTTCTCCTGAATACTTCCTTTCCCTAGCTTTGAAAGCTGATCGCCTACCTACAACTGGTCAACAGAATGGCGTTTCCCAAATACAATCTGCGGGGACATTGATGTCATGCAAGTAAAGTATGTCCTAGATCTTGTGACCGGGAACTCGAGCCTGACACTCCTCATACTCAGTAAGCGTAAAATTTAACACTTGGTGCACTCCATTCACCAATTACGATAAGACAAGATGAATCGGCGGTTGGGTTTTTACCACTAACACCTAGGGTAGAGTTGCTGATAGGACGAATCATCTTGTTTTTCCAAGTCGTCTAGGAATAAATACAGCACCAACATTATTCCTGCCTCGGGGAGAAAGACAATATGAACTCTCCGCAAAATAACAGGCCAGAACAAATAAGCATCTGCAGCGAAGTAAACGGGCGGTATGACTCTGAGCGCGAACGAGACATGTAAGAGGACTGAGATATGGCCAACTGAGGAGGGAATTCAAAGGTAGAATGTGTTTGGGGAACGGTCTTAACTTCAGTGGCAACGGAAATGTTAATGTATACAGGGAAATATCCGCAAGGAAAGTTGTCAGTTTTGAAAAGAACACGGCTCTTACAACCCAACGAATAAGGCTTAAAACTGACGTTGATAATCGCTAATCTAAAATAAACGATGCATGGTGGAATTATCAGTAATTTGAGTTGAAGATAGAAGGCAGTAACAAAAGCATAGGAGAAAGTTAGAAAACTTGGAGAATGCTAGCATTCGTAGAGAAGGGCGGAGACTCCCATCAAATCAGACGAAGACCATAAACCAACTGCGAAAAGAAAAGACAGTAAAAGTTTCTGTGCAATCCA